CCATGGTCCCCTCCCCCCACCTCCAGCCCCTCCGCCCCCTACTTACCAGCACGGAGTCCAGGTCCAGCTAACTGTGGCAGTGAGTGGGGACCTCCTGAATCTCCAAATCAATTTGGAGGCTGTAACGCATAGAAGGGGGTCTGAGTGTCCTTACCAAAAAGGAGAGGAAAATAAAGTTTTGTTTTTTTTTTAAAGGCAGCAACATGGAACTGCAGATATATGATTCCAGTGTGCTTTTATTTCGTACCTGGCACACACAGAGGACATGAATTGCTCCCCACTTCTAGCCATTTAATCTTTGATAGTTATAAAATGTCTATTGTAGATTGAGATTTGAAAAAGGAAAATAATCCCACCCCCGCCATCCCTTGTCTGTGCTCCCTGCAGTTTCTGCCACAGTCACCAGCCTAGTCTTACCCTTGCCCTCTACCCAGCCTACTCTGCAACCTTGGAGGGTGTTGTTCACCAGACTCTACTTGATATGTTAATAGTTGGCCACAGCCCTAATTATAGAAGCTTTTATTACTGCTCTAGAAAGAGGAAAACACCTTATCAAGAGGGTACAGTTTGTATGGCACAGTCTCATCATGACAGACAGACAGCAGTATACAAATATTAACCTTTTTTTTTCATTTTGAGAAAAAATCCTGGCCTAGAAAATATCATGCTGGTGTGCCACTATCTCATTACCTTTGTTACATTTTAATACAAAGCAGAAAGTGAAAAGGAAACGCTTTCCCCGTTGTTTACATTTCTTTCATGGGTAAGCCAGCTATGCAGCTTATGTATTTCTCCTTATTGCTCAGTTATCTATCCTTAGAGTAATAAAAAAACAAAACAAAAAAGCCTAATATCACAATAGTTCCTAAAGTAGAGATTTTCAGATTTAAAGGCTAAGCAGAAATTTAAAATGATTTTCCTAGATTTCCGACCTAGATTCCTTTCTTGCTCTCAATGCATTTTGTCCTTTTAAAGGAACCAATATGTTTGTATAACTGATGTGAAACAAGCTTGACTCCAAAAAGATTTAACTTAATATCTGGCTAAGCATTCAGAGGGTAGTCCATCTGTGGAATGTACATTAAGGACCCTGGCTGGAGCGCAGCTAGTCATGTATGATATCAGGCACACAAATGTGACGTGATGCCCATATACTCTTGAGTATAATTCAAAGTGCCATGCAGCTCTATGGGTAGAGAAGCTATAAACACAGTTGTCACAAATGAGAAAGAGTACAGGGTTATATTCAGACTGAAGAATGAAGAAACATTAGAACCAGCTATCAAGTGTTAATCAAAGTGTTAATTAGGATATTACAGAATTTATAGCTAAAATATAATCTCTGTTCAACAACCTTGTGGCACACATTTAATTAACTATTTCTTCACCCAAATCAAATGCAGATTTAAAAATGAAAGTAGTGCAGGGAAACATTGAGGAATGTACAGACATAACCAAAATGATGCTATTTTCATAGTGGATTTTTTGTTATCTTTTTCTTTATAAGCAGACCAACACAGAACATGTGATTATCTTGTGTTATTAGGAATATGTACACATTTAATCTACATAATCATCAATCTTTATGTAAAAATGATTAGTAAATAGGGTTTTTAAGCAACTGTTTAGTTTATACATTGGCATCATAGATTAACTTATTTCTAAAACACTTGATTTTATCACTCTGCTTAATGATTTGTCACATGATTTATTGGGTAAGATGATGAATCATGTTAGATTTATTGTTTATCCTATAAATAGTGCAACAAATCATTAAACAGTGATAAAACCCAGCAGTTTCACAAGTCCACCTATGTCGTCTTCACATACAATGCACAACTGTTTTGCAGTAATGTGACAATTCTTCCCTCCAGTTTTATGATATCAGGATAGAAGGGATCAGTGTACATTAAATGGTATTACACAATAATGGTGGAGTCATAATCTTATACTTCAGCCATATTTATTTTATACAGAAAAATAAAGTCTAATGTCTGTTGGATGTTAAATTTGCAAATTTATTCATCATAATAAAGGCAATATTCTTTGTTAGAAAGACATTAAATGTAATGGCAGTTTTTCATATTATAGCATGTCAATCATGTTTATCTTGCCTTGTTCTTATGTTGTGGCTGGCAAAAGATGTTGCACTGATCCTAGAATAATTTGCGAAGGTCTGAACCCATTCTCTACTTTCCGTAGTATAACTTAAAAGCCAATGTTGAAAAAATATGATGTTTAGCATACAAATATTTGGAGCACTGGGATTCTTTCAAAGTGTGGTGGTTTCTCTTGTAGGAAATAGCAAAATGGAGCCCAGTGGCTGGTGCATGATGGATAACAAATAGAAACAATATTGTTGAAAAATTACCTGAGTCATTGCTGAGTATGGCAAGACTGTTACATTCTGTAGAGCTGGCCCTGTTTCACAGTATTGTAAAGTGAAGTGGTTTGGACCATTCATATACTGGGCTACAATATCCGTTTTTATTGGTTCACAATGAACTTTCACATTTTGACTGTTGGGTTTCCTTTTAATTAGCTGGAGGACTGAAATCTAAAGAGTAAAAAGGGTTAAACTGAAGGAGGAAAGCACTCAGTTTTTTTTTTCCTTCATGGGTCCTAAATTTATTAAAGATCAAAAATAGTTCACAGTCATGGGACCTCCTTCATGCAGCTACTATAGCTGTGCTGGTTAGAGCCTTCAGTTGTTTTGCCTAGCAGGCCAGACTACCAGTTCTGCAACCTTACGAGCCCTAGCAATGGATCGTGACAAGGCATTGCAGAACAGATGCTTTTATCCATTGTTGCAATTTGGCCATAGATATATCCAAATATCCCCTTCTCCTTCTATTCCTTTCACTCACTGCCATTTCTTTACAGCAGCCATGATGATTGCAGTCACTAAACTGAATTGTCAAACTTACCTTCCTCTATCATGTACCCATTTGGATGCCAAGTCCAGTCTTCAGAAGCCTAAAATCTGGTTGATGAAATGTATGATTTGGGCAATCAGATTTGAACCTGATCAAATCCTGCAAGGCAAAATAAAAGGACATGAGATTTGCCCCAGGACATTTGGCTGCAGTAAGGAAGGTTGTTGCATACAATTGAGCTGTATAGTTTAGGGTCCAGCTCCTAAAGCTTTAACCTAACAGAATAAATCTGCCATTTGTTGACCTACTGCACATGAGCCAACTTACTCATAATTCCTCCTTCTGTATTTTCAGATGGGGAGATGTACTGAACTCTTCTCCATAGTACACAAGAGTTTTGGACATTACTCTGCCTTTAAATAGAAGTAATGTAGCATTCCTGTGATTTGGGGACTTTGGGTCCCCATAGAGAACAGGATTTGGATCAGGTACTTTTGTACATTTGATTTATTTCAGAATGCCCATTTTGAGAGATGTGACTGTGAAAGTTATATTAAAAAATAAAACCCCAGAGCAATATGCCCCAGAGCCATTAATTCCTTCCTTGTTGGGTGCATTTACATGTGCTATTAGTGCAATGTGATAAACTCTGGCGCGGTTCACACCAGAGTCATTTGCTTCTGGGTGCAGAGTTTATATGTGAGCCCAGCACTGCAACAGTCTGAGCTGGCGTGAAGTGGCCCCAGGCCAGCAGGGGAATGGAGGGTCAGCCCTGGGCTCTGTATGGTGGCATTGGGAGGTGGAAGGGCTGGCTAGGGCATGAGGGTGCTACAGTGCAGAACTAGGCGGCAGGCAACCCCCACACTTCAGGATCCTTGTGCCCTAGCCAGCCCCTGTCACAGTCTACACATGCGTTTCAGTGCACTAAATTTCTCCACCATAGGATAGTACTGTTGGGGACTCCTATGGCAAAGTTATTTTACTGCACGCTAATGCTGGTGTACGTGTAGACTGTGATACTTTACTGCGGAACTAATTAGTCAACTCTGCAGTAAAGTGCACATGTAGATGTACCCAGTGGGTTCTTATATACGAGCAGTGAGACTGCTCTGACATGGTATAATTACCATGCTCCAGCAGACTTCAGCATTGTGTGCGTCGGCGTCCCTGTGGTTAAAAATGGCAGCGGGGTGCTTTAACTAAAGCTTGTTCATTGAGTTTTAGTTAAAGTGCCCCCACTGCCATTTTTAAGTGCAGGGACACTGATACACAAGATGCTCTGGAAGCTTTCATTCAAGTGGGTCTTGGAGCTGCTCTAATTAAAGCTCCCCCCACTTCCAGAGCATGTGTATAAATGCCCATTATATCTGATTGACAGCCCGCTTAGTTTCTGATTGAACAAAAAGAGATTGAGGGACAGGCTATGTGAGATTGAAAGGCAAAGCTGTTCAGAACTGAAAAGAAGCACAGCGGTCCCAAGACAGTGGTTCCTAAACTGTGGGCAGTAGCGTGGGCAAAGTGAGGTGCTGAAGCTAACATGTACTTTGCTCTCTGTCATTCAGGGTTTTAACTTTTTAACTCCTTGTGGTCATGAGCAATGCTGGAAGGTCTCATGGGCAATATGTTCCCCCAGAGGTATGGGTTGGAAACCACTGCTTTAAGGGCACCCTGGAGGCATATTCTGGGAGGGAGGGGGCTGTTATGGAAAAATGAGGTGTACTGAATAAAAAACGGTAAGCATGCAGGAGTTTAAAGCTATTTAGAATGGGATATTGATGGTTCTGAAATTATTAAAGCTTAAAAATGTTTGGCTAACTGAGATGAAAAAGGAATTTAGTGGGATTCAATAAGAGCTCAGAGGGATAATAGTTAAATCCAGGAGAAAAAGTGTCATGACAGCAATCAGCAAAAAGTGTGTGTGCATCTGTGTGTAAGAATGAGGGAGAGAGAGACATTCTTCTCTCCATCTCCTCTCCTATTTCTTCTTCCTTGCACATACCATGCATATACATTGAGATGGTGTTTTTTGAGGGGGAGGGCCTCTAGCTGGGGAGCTGCTGTAGCTGGTATAGTAATACTGGGTCCTCTTCAGAGTCAAAATCTTCAAAACACATATGCAAAGTCCTTGTGCTTGGTGTCCCTCTGGTAAAAGATTGTTTCAGATCCCCTAATGACCTCTATCAGTACCTTCTTCTAAATCTCTTCCAGCTAGTTCTCCTTTAGTCCTCAGTGCCCAGTGTAGTTCAGTGGAAACCTTCTAACTCATCTTGGCAGAGTATCCTGTGGAAGTTTCTTGGTAACTATACGTGCTCGTCAGAATGTGGAGCCAGGGTCTTAGAAGCAACCGGGGGGAAGAAGCTGGGGAAAAGAAAAAGTTCTTTCGAACGATTGTTTTGTAGGCAGAGAAGGAGAAAGTGGCTCATAGCACTGCAACCATCAAGGAGACAGCGACTACACTATAAAAGCTGAAATAAAGACACTTCTCAAACTAGGTGATTGCATGAAAGGGTTCATTCCTGCAAAATTCATCTCGCTAAAATGTGTGTGTAAATTTGAGACCTTTCCAATGTCGCTATGTAAACAAAGCTCTTTAGAAAAAAATATTGCTTTGAGTAATTGTCTGTAATACCTTCGATCTGATTATAATACTGTATTTATTTCCTTTGAGAACTTTTAGAAAAAGTTCTAGGATACACGAGTGTGCTTTCTCCCTGTGGGCAGTCCAAGGTGTTTGTAGGAATTTGGTTCAGTTTAAGCCCTGTACAATTACCTTACTGTTGGACAAAATATTGTGTGCAAATGCCGTCAGACTACAAATTCTGCTGTTTTTTCTCACAGAATTTATGTTCATCTTCCATGATGTACTTTCAACCTTTATAATATCACCAGTTGATGTTATGTCAATGATATTTTACTGTAGCACTGATTTTAAGGATGTATTTGTCAATCATTGCTGTTTATTTGTCTATTAACCTTTGCTAATGTTGAAGGCATGTTTATTTTTGAGGGGGAGGCAATACAACTGCTATTTAACATTTGACGTTTGATGCTCTTAATTTGATGGGCTTATGCCTATAGTTTTGCATTTCACACTAAACTCAAGCATTCTTCTTCTGCTGTGGCAGGCAGGAAAGAGTTTCTTATTCAAATCTTCAGTCCTGCCATCATGTAATAAGCAATCAAGGACCCAAAGGGAAGGAGCCTGAAAATTTGTAAACAAAGAAAAAAACACATTCATTAAAATTGGTAACTAGAATTATATGCTCTATGGTAGGGGTCTCAGAATTTTTTTTGGGAGAGAACTGGGTTTCATAATTACAGTACAGGCAAGGATCTTTCTGAGTGATAACTTTTACTAGACCAATTGCACGATTAGAATTATGGTGCAGAGTTCAGGACACTAAGACTATGTACTTCAATCTCTGCTTAGTTTGCCTATAAGATCATTTGTCACTATGGTTTAATTATTTCTTGTTCTATTTGCCTGCCAATATCTCCTGCCTCCCTTATCAACTCTTGATAATTGGTCAAAACTTGATGATTAGCCATGATTTGGAGTGATGAATTAACCAGAATTTACTGGACTATCTTCTATTCACAGCAGATATCATACTGATATTGAGAGCAAGTTTCCATCAAGACCCAGGACAGATAAAGACCTTTGAGTAGAAACTCAACTCATATTTTGTACCATTATTATTTTTGTTTTGTTATTGATATATTCAGCATTACTATCTGGGATAATGCCCTATGTTTCTCTTTCTTTATTGTTCTCTTGAATTGCATATCAATTTTTAGCATCAGTCAGCGGATTAATCTGGGTGTTTGCCACTACATTTCAGCTGGTGGCTGACAGGGACAAGAATATAGCAGAGCACCGTCTTTCTCAGAGGTAAAGCTACCTTGCTTGCAGCTCTGAGAGGGCACTACCAAATCCTGCATCCTGGTCCCTCTTCTGTGGACACAAATCTCATGTAGGCTCAGGAGACCCTAGAATTTAGGAAACTAAATCTAAAATAATGCTACGGTTTCCCTGACTTCCCCTTAGTCCTTTCATTCTGCCTTTAAGCCATCTAGTTTTATACTTTCACAGCATCTGAACCTTTCTAGCATCCAACAGCTATAGACTGATACTTTGGGGCCTGTGCCTGCCATGGCTGCTTGCATGGCAGCTCTGAGCCTGAGGCCTGAAATTCAGAAAGATGACCCTTTTGTACAGTCAAAAATTGGTACCTAGTCAAGAACTTGCCATCATGAGGATAATATGAGCTGACTGGTCTAAATTGGAGTTCTGTTCTTAGTGCTTTTTTGGCAACATCATCCCCTTCCCTCTGAAGCAATCTGCATTCCATATGGAGTTACTCAGCATTGATGACTGTGCAGAAGCCTCCCAAATGATACAGGTTGCAGTACCCCCCTCCCAAAAATGTATACCACAGTGGAAGAGTGGGCTCTGTTGTAAGTAGCAGGCTGGAAGTACTGCTTCTCTCCCAGCTTTTCCGTTGCTCCTGCATCAGAAGGCTGGGACTGTCCAACTTTTCTCTGCTCCCTTGCAATTGGAAACATCGACTCACATGTTGTCCTCTGAACACCTGCAAGTCTGGCTGGAAACCCATCCCTGATGTACCTAGAGGCTAAGAAATAAAAGTCTTAAGTGTTCTCTTCAAGGCTGGAATATAAACTAAGATTATCAATCTCACAGCAATCATCCCAGTAGCCTGGTGGAAGGCCTCACTGAGGTGAAGGAATAGCAGTTAAACCTCAAATCCATTTAAATCTACTCCTACTGTGGTTAGTATCTTATTCCAGTGTCCTCCCACCATGTCATTCACTGGTTAATGTGTCGCCTGAATATGACTATCACATTTTTCTTTATTGGTAGTCTTTAGCATCTCCCATTCCAGTCCTCCATGCCAACCAGGTGACTCAGTTGTATACAGAACAAACCGTGCCATTAGGAGTTTACTATTGAGTGTACTTTCTCGTGGTGCCTATTTGAAATTTCCTTTCATAAGAAACCTCAGGAGGATGTATTTCAGTGAAGACAAGAATCGGTATTTAGTAAACATCCAAGTGGATTCTAGCTCTATGGCTGACAAACGTTTAATGTAGCTTATACTATATTATTCTTGCTTAACTTTGAGCTTTTGATTTAGCATTCTTGTTTAGCAGTGGTATTCCACAGGGGATATTGTTGGGTTCCAAATCTTTTGTCAGGGTAATTGAGCATAACATCTTTTCAGGTTTGTATTTCAAAAGATGCATTGTCTTTCCTTGTCCATTTGTTCTATCAGAGCTATTCAAAACTTTTAGCTTTACAGATCCTGTGAGAGAATTTGAGTTTAAGCTGATAATTTATGTTTGTGCTGAACATGCAATTTTCTTTCTCAGTATGTGATGATTAATAGACTTCTCTCCATAAATTAGTAAGAAAAGATGATATAGGTAAATTGGTAACAAAACAGAAGACATTCATTAAATTCAGTGT